GGGGGGGGGTGTTTATACATGTTGTTGTTTTCGTTCTGAATTTTTGTGAAATACTTTGTTTTAAAAATTACTGCAGAGTCACCTTATCCAAATAATTAGTTTATAATTAAACTTGATGGGTTAGTATTTACTGCTAATTTTGTTTTACGCTAATGGTAAATTAATGTTTCCCCTAAAGAGTCATAAATATCGGACTAAAATGTTATTTATGAATGGGAGAGCGTACCATGCCACTCTAAAAAGGAAAAGCAATAAAGCGAGGTAATTTTTTTTTTAACATTTGTTATCTATCTTTAAAAAACAGGTTCTATTATTAAAATTGTTTAAGGTTCTCAGAGCTGGTTTCATTCTTTTTAGTTCATCTCCATCGTTTCTGTGGATCGAATATAAATGTGATAGAAATGTTTTTATAACCTAAGTAGGTGCCATGTCTTTTTTTATCTTTGTTACATAAGGCTACAGCCTATTCATTTGAGACACTTGTTGAAAATTAATTCTGAAAACGATATTAAATATGCTAAGAGGCACCCCCTCCCCCCACACCCACACTTTCAATAAAGATTTGAACTGAACAAAAAATTGATTTATTTAATATGACCAACGTGTCCAAGTTCATCGGTGACGTCAGTATTCAACAGACCACTCGGACATTTTCATACAACTTCTTGGCAACACTGTCATCGTCTGTAATAAATAGTATGTACCCAATGAGTTACTGGGAATGTAGGATTTGTTGTTGGTGTAAACATTAAATCGAATGTACTTCAAAAATTATAAAGGTGACATTGATTGTATGATTGATTTCGTCTCTAAACTCTTTAAAAAACAAATACATTGTGCACATAATTCAGAATGATTTTTTTTCTTCAAATCCTTTTTAAATTGTTGGTCAATAAACATGTTGCATAGTGCAGGTATAGGTTTTAGAACTCGCATAATTAAAATACAAAAACTTAAGGACAAAATATAAAATATGTTTTAATTTAATCAACACAGAGACGGCAGCTTTGACAAAAACATAAGAGATGAAAGCTTTGACAAAAAAAAAAAAAAACAGAGGCGGCAGCTTTATATATACATAAAATATATATATATATATATATTTTTATATATATATATATATATATATATATATATATATATATATATATATGTATATATATATCATTTATAAAATATTTATGACATGCAATACAAATAAACTTTGCTATGCCCATCTAATTCGTTAAGTTACTATAATAATAATAATATTAATAATATAGAAATACCTTTGTCAAGTATTTGATTTGAAACTGATCTCGACCAATTTTTTACTCTGGTATTTGACAGTTTTTCACACTAAAATATGACCTTCTAGAATTTGTGTTGCAAACATACAAAGAGAACATCAAATTCCCTTTTTTTCAAAGCCAAAGTGTAATTAACGCTCACCCCTTTGACTCCATCGAAAACATAACTGGAGAACCAGTATGGAAATTTGGAGCTTAACACAGTCTCTGGTTTGAAGCAGTGGAAACGCGTTCTGTTTAAAAAGTCCAAACTTGACTTTAAAGAAACCCTTAAGTTTGCCATACATTGGCCCATGTTAACGTCTTCGTCAATTCCGTACTTGCTGCACAGAGATGTGTTTTTTACACCTAGTTGTCCAAACCGCCTCAAAGCCTCTTTGCTGAGGACGTAGCCGCCTCCTCCGCTAGCGTAGCCCTGAGTGACGTGAGGCATAAACCGCTGCCCGAAGTAAACTGGTTGCCCGGAGTCTTCTGCAGAAAGGAAATATCTCAGGTTTTCCATGATGACGTACGTGTCGTCGTCAGCTTTCTCACACCCCAGCTTAAGAATCACTGACCTCGCGTTATTGACATCAAAGGGATGCAACTGTAACAATACAATAATAAGGACATCACAACAGCTGAGTGCAGAGTCATGAAAACTTAATCGATACCAGCAAAACAAGCACAGTATGCACAAGAGATAAATCTATGAGAATTTATAAAACAAGCACAGTATGCACAAGAGATAAATCTATGAGAATTTATAAAACAAACACAGTATGCACAAGAGAAAAATCTATGACAGCGTATAAAATACAGTATGCACAAGAGATAAATCTATGAGAGCTTATAAAAAAAACCAGTATGCACAAGAGATAAATCTATGAGAGCTTATAAAATACAGTATGCACAAGAGATGAATCTATGAGAGCTTATAAAATACAGTATGCACAAGAGATGAATCTATGTGAGCTCGAAATTGCATTTCATAAAAGATTGATCAAACAAGTTAGTTTTTTAGGGTAGTTTATTTATTGACTAGTACCTGCATTGATTTTTCTGCAAGATGGAATCTACCTTCAGTTACATTTAGACCGATGGTGGGGAAACTTTCGTTATGGACTGAGCTCATAAACAAGACGACATTGCATCTCTTTGCCCATGTGTTCTTCACGTGAATTGCTTTCCTAAACGGGAGATATGAGCACACTTTATTTGTAATTATAATTTGTTCATTCAAAAAAACTACAACATATTTTTCATTTTCAAAGGAAGTCATGAAAAACCAAAATAAACATTTGTTTATAAAAATCCCCCGAGGGGAGGGTGGGGGGTTCTTTTTTTTTTTTTTTTTNTAATGGTAAATTAATGTTTCCCCTAAAGAGTCATAAATATCGGACTAAAATGTTATTTATGAATGGGAGAGCGTACCATGCCACTCTAAAAAGGAAAAGCAATAAAGCGAGGTAATTTTTTTTTTAACATTTGTTATCTATCTTTAAAAAACAGGTTCTATTATTAAAATTGTTTAAGGTTCTCAGAGCTGGTTTCATTCTTTTTAGTTCATCTCCATCGTTTCTGTGGATCGAATATAAATGTGATAGAAATGTTTTTATAACCTAAGTAGGTGCCATGTCTTTTTTTATCTTTGTTACATAAGGCTACAGCCTATTCATTTGAGACACTTGTTGAAAATTAATTCTGAAAACGATATTAAATATGCTAAGAGGCACCCCCTCCCCCCACACCCACACTTTCAATAAAGATTTGAACTGAACAAAAAATTGATTTATTTAATATGACCAACGTGTCCAAGTTCATCGGTGACGTCAGTATTCAACAGACCACTCGGACATTTTCATACAACTTCTTGGCAACACTGTCATCGTCTGTAATAAATAGTATGTACCCAATGAGTTACTGGGAATGTAGGATTTGTTGTTGGTGTAAACATTAAATCGAATGTACTTCAAAAATTATAAAGGTGACATTGATTGTATGATTGATTTCGTCTCTAAACTCTTTAAAAAACAAATACATTGTGCACATAATTCAGAATGATTTTTTTTCTTCAAATCCTTTTTAAATTGTTGGTCAATAAACATGTTGCATAGTGCAGGTATAGGTTTTAGAACTCGAATAATTAAAATACAAAAACTTAAGGACAAAATATAAAATATGTTTTAATTTAATCAACACAGAGACGGCAGCTTTGACAAAAACATAAAAGATAAAAGCTTTGACAAAAAAAAAAAAAAACAGAGGCGGCAGCTTTGACAAAAAACAGAGGCGGCAGCTTTGACAAAAAACACCAGAGACGGCAGCTGTGACAAGAACACCAGAGACGGCAGCTGTGACAAGAACACCAGAGACGGCAGCTGTGACAAGAACACCAGAGACGGCAGCTGTGACAAGAACACCAGAGACGGCAGCTTTGACAAGAACACCAGAGACGGCAGCTGTGACAAAAACACCAGAGAAGACAGCTTTGACAAAAACACCAGAGGCGGCATCTGTGACAAGAACACCAATGTCTCTCACTTGAAATTTTCATGTTTTTAAAGATCATCAAGTTATCCTAACCTTTATGATACTTAGTGTCTCCTAACTGGTCCTGTTGAAAAAGATTTTAATTCAATCAACGAATGCCTTTTTAAATGAGTCAACTAAACGAAAATATCTATCTATTTTTTTAAACATTATTTTTAAACCATGCCATTTTTGTAATCAGATATAATTGTTTGCATGGTTATACTTCGTTTTAAGAAAAACATATCTTTAGGACCATATCTTACCCTTTTCTAGCCACTAGCACTTTCTGGTAACTACCTCTTTCTGGCCACTACCGTTTCGAAAATATAGGAATTTAGTTTTTGTTTTTTTTGTTAAAGTCATTCATTTATACTATAATATTAAACTCAATATATAGCAGGAAACAGCAAGCTTCTCCCCGCCCCTCCCTTGCCGCCCCCCCCCCCCCCCCCCCCCCGCCCCTCCCTTTCCGCCCCCCCCCCCCCAATCCGCATCACACCTGGACCTTTGCCAGATTTCCCTGGCACACCACAATTAAAACTGAAATTAAAATATAAGCTGGCTAATTGTTGTTTACGTGAAGCAACATTTTTAATGTGTTTCCCCCTTATAGTAAGTTATAGACGTGCAATCAACAGGAGCCAGTTAATTTCTTTTCACAAAGTGATATAACAAAGAGTTTTCACTTTTTACGCGAGTACAACAATATAACAGCAATATAAACATAACTTATTCCTTAGGCATGTCTAGTGGTAATTCTATAATTCGTTAAAACAAATTGATTTTATAACAAAGAAATCTTCCCATTCCAAAACACAATTGAAAAACTCTTTTTATACAAACAAAATAATTGACCACTAGCTTACGGGTGACTCTTTTGATACGATTAAAATAATTGACCACTAACTTATTGATGACATTTATTAGAAAAGTTACTTTTTTAAAATTAAATTTTTTACGGTATGACAATAATTTGTAAAATGTGCGATCAAAACGGTTTTGACGGCGTGGACAAATAAGATTAAATGTCGGTACATACATTAGATTAAACAAGGTGGCGCTAGTTTGTGTTGGACAAGGTGGGGCTAGTTTGTGTTGGACAGGGTGGGGCTAGTTTGTGTTGGACAGGGTGAGACTAGTTTGTGTTGGACAGGGTATGAGTACTTTGTGTAGGACAGGGTGGGTCTAGTTTGGGTTGGACAAGGTAGGTGTACTTTGTGTTGGACAGGGTGGTGCTAGTTTGTGTTGGACAGGGTAGGTGTACTTTGTGTTGGACAGGGTGAGGCTAGTTTTTGTTGGACAGGGTGAGGCTAGTTTTTGTTGGACAGGGTGAAGCTAGTTTTTGTTGGACAAGGTAGGTGTACTTTGTGTTGGACAGGATGTGGCTAGTTTGGTTTGGACAGTGTGGGGCTAGTTTGTTTAGGACAGGGTGAGACTAGTTTGGGTTTGATAAGGTAGGTGTACTTTGTGTTGTACAGGATGGGGCTAGTTCTGTTTGGACATAGTGAGGCTAGTTTGTGTTGGACATGGTGAGGCTAGTTTGTGTTGGGCAAGGTGAGGCTAGTTTGTGTTGGACAAGGTAGGTGTACTTTGTGTTGGACAGGATGAGACTAGTTTAGTTTGGACAGGGTGGGGCTAGTTTGGGTTGGACAGTGTGGGGCTAGTTTATGTTGGATAGGTTGTGGCTAGTTTGTGTTGGACAGGAGGGGACTAGTTAGAAGATTGAATAAATTTGTATTTATTCGGTGATGAAATGTCTCATCAGTTGTGTAAATTTTAACCGACAAAGCAATCAACACTTGGTTAAAATATTACAAACTAAAGGCGTGAACAGCGTGTGTCAACGGCAAAAAGTGACAGGGGCATATTTTACTCACGGCTTCAGACACAATGAGCTGTTGACTTTGTCACGTGACCGGCCAAATTTCAAGTTTACACACGTGCTTCTCTATTGGACCTCCAACGTTTGACGGCTTGTTAATGACCAAATCACTGTTTCTTTTGTTTCAATACATTTTAAACGTATTCACGAAATAGTCTCACGAAATCCCTAGCATCGTCTCGCGGCACACTAATGTTTCGCGGCACACTAATGTCTCGCGGCACACTAATATCTCGCGGTACACTAATGTCTCGCGGCACACTAATGTTTCGCGGCACACTAATATCTCGCGGCAAACTAATGTTTCGCGGCACACTAATATCTCGCGGCACACTAATGTTTCGCGGCACACTAATATCTCGCGGCACACTAATATCTCGCGGCACACTAATGTCTCGCGGCACACTAATATCTCGCGGCACACTAATGTCTCGCGGCACACTAATGTTTCGCGGCACGCTAATGTCTCGCGGCACAAATCTCGCGGCACACTAATGTCTCGCGGCACACTAATATCTCGCGGCACACTAATATCTCGCGGCAAACTAATGTTTCGCGGCACACTAATATCTCGCGGTACACTAATGTCTCGCGGCACACTAATGTTTCGCGGCACACTAATATCTCGCGGCAAACTAATGTTTCGCGGCACACTAATATCTCGCGGCACACTAATGTCTCGCGGCACACTAATGTTTCGCGGCACACTAATGTCTCGCGGCACACCAGTGTATCGGGTCACATCGGTGTCGGAGCTCTGCAAAATTGTGTGGATATAATGACTAGAATTTTTTTTTTAAAACAATGAATAGGCTAACAGGCTAATGCTTCTAAAATTAGAAGAAAGTGTGTGTACAGTTATTGTGTACGGTACCCTTCGTGTACACTACACACCTTTACAGCAACTGATCGTGAATTTGATAAGGTCACATTTGGGAAGACCCACTCAAAACCATGTGTGGCCTTGGGAGATCAAAGTCATCGCCCATGGTCATTGTGTGTTATCCATCCCATGAAAGGAATTATCCACACGCTCCCCAGCTGCCCAGATGCCGTCTATGGTCGCAGTCCTAAATTCACCCACAAGTGTGTTTACCTTCGGTGGATTACCGAAAGTGTGGTAAAAGCTCGCCGTTTCTGTGTAGCTTTTTGAACCTCGTACTCTTTTTTACGGATTAGCGAGAAAATCTGAATATCAAAATAATGGGTAGGTCTGCCTTAAAAAAAACTAGAAGGATTTATTTTCCTTTTCGTTTTTTTTTTTAAATACTCGAAATTAGTTTTGACCAGTTATTATTCCATGTTTAGTTTCACTCAAATGGAGGTCAACATTGTTATATGAAAACTAAAGAATTTGTGATACAAAAGTTTCAATACTTTATACGCGTCTTTCGAGATTAGTCCTACTTTCAATAACCTAAATCGATGTCAGATTTGAAAGGATACAGATAAATTACATCAAATCTGCTGAGTTGGAAGTTGGAACTTTGAAATAAAAAAAAATGTTGCTGGGGATTCAAAGATAAACCATATCTAAATTTTAAAAAATCTAAGATGTCCACTTACTTTTCATTTATATATTGTTTTGTAACTGAGGAGATTGGCCAACGCACGCCTGTGATCCATCCTTGACATGATATCAACAAAAGTGAACCAATAGGGTGTTTGTTAAATAGAAATTCATGGTTTTCTTAAATCATGGTTTTATGCTGTATTTTTTTTTTAAATAACCGGAAATATGCATCAAACTTTTTCAGGGATAACTCGCTCCGAAATCAGAGACACGGAAACGTTAACGATTGTCCACGTTTATTACACGCAGTATTTGATAATAATATGTCGGTCATATGTATCGTTATATCGTACGTCTCTTTATGGCAAAGTTTGGATCACAAATAACTCACCGAGTTACTGTAATACATCCGATCTGCGCTGGAATATTGCACGTTTCTATTTGTAAAGGTTGTTGTCCATCCTTGTAGAGTGAGCAGCAGGGCCGTGCTGAGGCCTAGACAAATACCCGCCAAAAAACTCAGCCACGTCTTGTATCTGACACCGCTCATTGTAAATATGTTACAGTTTCACTCTTCAACATATAAACCAACAGTAACTGCCAAAGAAACCAGTTTCCGAATGCTAAACTTTGAATATACACACATAGTTTGATTCTATTTCATTTAGTCTTCAATAGCTTCGATACTTACGTAATTTATAACAGTGATTTAAATTTTTTTTTTCAATTTAAGTATCCTGAAGTGAAACGAAATAAGTTTAATAGAACTGCAGCTTGACATTAATATATCTTGTACTTGTACATTCCCATGGAATGACGCAACATTAAATCAGTGCTTTATTTGCTATAATTGTAACACACTTCTATTTCATACCACTCTGTTTAATGGTTTAACTAGAACTTGATTTCAGGTTAAACCATACCAATGTCAAACCTATATTTTGTTAGCTTCACTTTCAATACAAACTCAGTGACCAAAAAAATCCCGTTGTCAACATGCTGGATATGCTCCTCTGTGTGTCAATCAACGTAAGTCTTGTGTAGCAAAGAAGTAACTTTAAAATCACCTCAAACTCCATCTTTAATCTGTACGCGTTACACGTTACAGATTAAGTCCTTTCAAATGAATGACCCTGTATGCGTGTGGCATATGGCTGACTTACGGTATAGACTAGTTGTTAATCGTTTAGAAATTTATCTACTAGAAATCGTTACTGAATCACTGTACCTGTGATTGTTTATAGAAAGCAATAACCTTAAAATATACAATTTACTTTTTTAGGTTTAATTAGTTTTTAAAAAAAATAATATTAATCTATTTGCATCTCTCTTTTTTTGTTTTTTATGTATTTTAACTTTTATCTAAGATGGAGTCACTAAACTACGGCTCCTGCTCGTCATTTTGTACGTTAACCGGCCCGCGGTGAAAATAGTTTGGTGACCCCTGCTCTAACGCAAGGTGTTCTCAACTATTTTAACGCAATGTCCTCGGCTAGACAGGGGAGACGTAAAGTATATGTTTTAAAATAGTTTTGAAGACAATATTTTTCCAGTGCAATTAATCTGACGCTGATAATATAAACTTACAGCTGAAATATAAATTTAAAAAAAAAATACTGATGTGTTCACATTGCTTTTATAAATCTATCATCAAACTTAAACCTGGTTTCGTAAACCTGTGTACTTTAAGGCCAAGTGAGGCCTTCTAGATCTTCAAGTGAGGCCTTCAAGATCTTCAAGTGAGGCCTTGTAGATCTTCAAGTGAGGCCTTCTAGATCTTCAAGTGAGGCCTTGTAGATCTTCAAGTGAGACATTTGTACTGCATCGAGATTTTACAGAACCATCCAATTTCTTAAGTCTTTCAAACAGAAATCGCCCTCATCCCAGACATTTAATAGTTGGTTAACATTAAAACTAGCAAATAGCTCTATTTTATTTCAAAATTTTCAATACGCTACAAAATATCATAAGCCTACAAACTTTTTATTTTTATGTAATTGGTTCAAGTTTCTTAAATGTCGCCTTTATTCAGCCTTCCAGCGTGAAATGGTTCCCCCACGCCAACACGACTTCAACTTAGTGTAAAAATTAATTTTTTAAATGTGGGCCTACTAAATAACTGAGTAAATCAATTCAAATACCTAGGATCTTTATTAAATGAAAGAAACGAATTACTAACAGAATTAAAAGAAAGAATGTCAGCCGGAATCAGTGCATACTTCACTAGTAGGAAAATATGATAATGATGGAATACTTTGTACCTCTGTGTGCGCTCTGATGTCCTAAAATCTATTTAAAGAAAATAAGTTTTTGAATGTTTCTTAAATGACTTTTTATCATTTTGAATTTCTCTCAAGACTGTTATATTTTAGGCGCAATAGCTTCAAAAGAGTGCCCTCTTTATGACTTCTTTCTGTGTCCATCCACCCTGGGATCTCTCAGTAAGGACTGTGTTGAAGAGCGCAGGCTCTGTAAGAATACATGTTTAGAAATACGTTTTTAAAGATATTCCGGTCCAGAGCCTTCTTTACAGCCGTATACCTGAGGCAGATTTTTATGGTCCATTGAGCTCACTCACAGGAAGCCATTGGAGATCTTCATGAACTGTCGTGATGTGGTCAGATTTCTTTAAAAGCGATATAATGCGTGCTGCAGTATTTTGTACCTTTTGAATTCGCTGAATTTAGTTTTATGGTAAACCCACAAACAACAGTTGCAGTAATCTAACCTTGTAATACTTAAATGTAAAAGCATTGCAAGAACATCAAAGAAAACCATTTATAAAACTGCAAGCAGACCAGTTGTAACATAAGCAAGTGAAACGTGGGTCTTAACAAAAATGACGGAAAACACATGAGAAAGAAAAGTTTTCCTGAAAATATAAGACCAACAAAGGGTGAATATGGAAGGAGAATACGAACCAATCAGAAATTGTATGGTCTGCATCATGAGCCCACGCTGGTAGCGAGAAAAAAAAACGGGAAGGCTACGCTGGGCAGGACACTTAAAAAGAATGCCAAATGACAGAGGAGTGAAGAGAGTACATCACCAAAACTCCATGAGGAAAACGGCTCAAACGCAGACCAAGGCTTAGATGGATGGATGATGTGGGAAAAGATCTACAACAGCTGGGAATCAAAGCATGGAAAAGAAAAGCACTAATTATAATTGAGTAGAAGTAAGTGGTGAGGCAGGCCAAAGTCCTACACGAGCTGTAGCGCCACAGGGATGGATGGATGGATGGAATAAATGACTTAGACACTTTACAGCTGAACTATGGATGATTCATTTTAATTGATGAATAGAAAGGTAAATTAAAAAATACATTTCTTTTCAATCCCTTGCGCAAGGTGACGTTGCGATGTTAATGTTCATGGACACTTCCAAAAGCAAATTGATTATAATAACATCAATTTTGAGGTTTTTTTTGTTCACTCTCGTGTTTACACTTATAGTGTAGTTTCATCGAAAAAAAGTCTGCTCACACGCCATTGGGAGCTGTCGTGTTCTTCTCTCATTTAGCTAAATATTGTCTTTATACAGAATTCGTGATACGTGGAAATTACTTGAATGGATCGAGAGACATACTTTTTTTATGTAGTCATCTGTCACAGGTGTGAGTTTTGTTTAGAATTCTGGGTAAGAATGACTTCAGCGTTCTCACAATCACGGATCGAGTCAAATTTTGTTTAGAAATCTGTTATGTTTTCTATGTTTTTATTTACAACAATTACACATCACATAGCTATACACAGAATACACGTTCTAGATAATGCTGACTTTCTGCTCGCGTCCGGAACACACTGTTCAATAACATACACTCTGACTACAATCTCTCTGCGCATGCGCGCTTTTTGACCTAGTTTGCTATCGGGACGGTCTCGTCCGCTAGTCCACCATAACACCTCCCCGAACAATTACAAGTCCAGTAACATTGGTGCTCGACGTTGTCTTTGAGATTTTCTGGGTATAACAAAATCTGAAGGTCTTGTATGTCGAGGGTTAATCTTCTTCTTAGGTGGACTTGGAGTTGCTGGATGTGTAGACGGTTGATGACTCAGCGCTGCCTGAGCTGTTGGTTAAGGACTTCCTGTCATTATATCCAAACCTGGTTCTGAATCTTCTTCTGCCCCGTACCTGGGGCGAAGTTGGTCTAAATGTCTCTTCCATATGGGACCATTCGGATAAATCTTCACCTTGAAAAGACGTGGACCCATAACGTGGATGATTGTACCGGGAGCCCATCGTGGTTTAGAGTCTGTTTCTGTTCCATATACTCTGACATAACATGGATCTCCCCTGTTAAATGATCGACTAGGACTTCTGTTTGTCCCATCGCGGACGGCTATTTCTTCCAGTTGTTGTCCCTGTTCTCGATGAGCAGGAGAGGTAACTAGAGTATCAATAAGTGTTCTTATTTGTCGATTGTTCAGCAGTTGGCTAGATGATAATCCACTTGCAAATGGTGACCTACGATATTGACGCAGAAAGTCTTGTAGAGATCCCTTTAAATGTAATGAGGATTTCTTTAGTGAACTCTTGAAACTTTGAATCAGTCGTAAGGCAGCTCCATTCGTAGCAGGATGACAGGGAGCGCCTGCAAGATGTACAATACTCCTCTCTTTACACCAATGCTCAAATTCTTCCGCGATGAAGCTAGTTGCATTGTCACTGACTATGGTGTGTGGATAGCCGAAATGAGCAAAATCTTCCTCCAGAAGATCAATGGTGGCTTTGGTTGATGTAGATGTTGTCCTGTGGATACACGGATACTTTGAATAACCATCTATCATCATCAGCCCATGTGATCCTTTAAAGTTAATGACATGGTCGATATTCACTCGACTCCATGGTTTTTCAAGCAGCATCCATTGGGTGAATACTTGCTTTGTTTGGGTCTCTGTGGTGTTCTGCACAGGCTTGGCATGTTCGACCTATCCCCATTATTTGAGTATCAAGTCCGGGCCAATATACAGATGATCTAGCTAACTGTTTCGTCCGCTCGATTCCAAAATGTCCTGTATGCATGATTTGGAGAACCTGAGCTTGCAGTATTTTTGATACCACAATTCTTGAACCATAAAATAGACAATTCACCTAAACGGAGAGTGAGTCTTGCATATTTTTAATAGCTGCAATATTAGCTGCATCCTTGTTCAAGTGCGCTTTGTTTGTAGAGGACGACCAGCCCTCTTGACAATATCTCATTACTGTAGACACAGTATTGTATTGCTAAAGTATTTCACTTATTGTATTGCTAATTTATTTCGCTTATTGTATTGCTAATGTATTTCACGAAAACAAAAAAATAAAAAATCTAAAACCCGATGAGGGAATAGGCAGAGCATGAGCTCAATTGTCGGGTTGGTCAAATATGATTTTCATCTACTAAATAAACTTTACACTATATATAATCATTTATTACACAGAAAATTTTAAAGAATAGTAGCTAATCGCTTATAATTGTACAAAGTACGTGAATTACTATCTTCAAAAACACCATGTTGGATCGATTATCCTTCTGATAAATGGGACTGGCGGTTTCCTTTCTTCTTGATTTCAGGTGAATTCTTGCACGCTATCCTTACAATCAAATACTCTCCTTACAATATAATGAGCCGCTGGTCTAAATATTTATCTAGACTTGATTGATTGGCAGATTCATTTAAAGAAACTTGAACTTCCTCCCAGCAAAACAGATCTAGCCCCAAAGCCGATTGATTGAATTTTCCTGACCAGATGCTGTATGCAGATACGTTATACATAAACATTGGGACGACGGGAAAAACGTGTATAAGGCAGAAATAAACTATATTGCTGTTTTTACTATACAAAAACATCGCATAATTAATGCAACAGAAGTGACCTTGACTTTTGGAATCATCTCAAATATCATAGTCGTCATTAGCAACAAGATGCCACTCACATTGCCATTTAGATTCTATGGAGCCTTTTCTAAAGTGAAACAATATGGTTATGTATTAACATGCAAAATTTTAAAAGTTTTTCATAATGGAAGGGTAATATAAATTGCATAGATAAAAGTAGACTGTACGTGGATTTAAAGAACGAAAATATAATTTATATCATGATTGTTTTTAATCACAATTGTCCAAAAACTACTCAAAATTTATTTGAAACTCGAAACTTTTGTTCCGCTTACCAAAAGATTTGATTACCTGATTTAAACACAGGACACCTAAGAGGGAAGACTTTTCAATCAGTTGCTAAAAGGGCAATTAAATAAAGCAGCATATCCGACTATGTATTGAAGACATTCCAACGCCATTTTTTTAAACGTTTCTTTTGTAACTCTTGGACTTTTCACCTAAACAGCAAACCGATTCATCCTGCATGAGATATTAATACTACTCATCTCCAGTTGGATAAGTTTGATCAGGGGTCGACCTCGCGTTGATGGCCATGGGTAGGTTGAGAACCCCATAAGGCCGTAAGTGGTAAGTGAAAAACTCCAGGGCGTACATCTGAGTTGGTTCGACGTAATGAAAGCTGATGGCGTAGTCGCTGATGTTATCTAAACCCTGATGAAGAGAATCGTTCATTATCATATCATCACAATGAATCATATGTCCATATATATATAATTTAAATAAAAAAAAAAATTATGGCATGCAATATTAATAACCTTTGCTATACCCATCTAATTTGTTAAGTTACTATTATAATAATAATAAAGAAATACTTTTATCAAAGTATTCGATTTGAAACTGATCGGGGCCATTTTTTTAGTCTTGTATCTGACAGTTTTTAACACTAAAATATGACCTTCTAGAATTTTTGTTGCAAACATACAGAGAGAACATCGAATTCCCCATTTTTCAAAGCCAAAGTGTAATTGATGCTCACCCCTTTGACTCCATCGGAAGCATAACGGGAGAACCAGTATGGAAATTTGGAACTTATCACAGTCTCTGGTGTGAAGGAATGGAAACGCGTTCTGTTTAAAGAGTCCAAACTTGACTTTAAAGAAACCCTTAAGTTTGCCATACATTGGCCTATTTCCACGTCTTCTGATATTCCGTACTTGCTGCACAGAGATGTGTTTTTTACACCTAGTTGTCCAAACCGCCTCAGAGCCTCTTTGCTGAGCACGTAACCGCCTCCTCCACTAGCGTAGCCCTGAGTGACGTGAGGCATAAACCGCAGACCGAAGTAAACTGGTTGCCCGGAGTCTTCTGCAGAAAGGAAATATCTCAGGTTCTCCATGATGACGTACGTGTCGTCGTCAGCTTTCAGGAACCAATCAGCGTCGTTGAAATGATTGTCATAAATATATTCAAAAGCCTGATGGGAGGAAGAGAAGAATATAAATGGTGGATGTTATATTTATTAATACTATGTTCAACACAAGGAAAACTAACACCTCTGTTTGGCTGGATGTCCTGATTTTTAATGACTAGCTACAGGTAAAACAACATGACCTCTCACACCCCAGCTTAAGGATCACTGGCCTCGCGTATTGACAACAAAGGGATGCAACTGTGATAATACTATAACAAGGACATCACAACAGCAAAGTGCAGAGTCATGAAAACCTAATCGATACCAGCAAAACAAGCACAGTATGCACAAGAGAAAAATCTATGAGAATTTATAAAAGAAACACAGTATGCACAAGAGAAAAATCTATGAGAATGTATAAAACAAACACAGTATGCACAAGAGAAAAATCTATGACAGCTTATAAAATACAGTATGCACAAGAGATAAATCTATGAGAATTTATAAAAGAAACACAGTATGCACAAGAGAAAAATCTATGAGAATTTATAAAACAAACACAGTATGCACAAGAGAAAAATCTATGAGAATTTATAAAACAAACACAGTATGCACAAGAGAAAAATCTATGAGAATTTATAAAACAAGCACAGTATGCACAAGAGATAAATCTATAACAGCTTATACAGCAAAAACAGTATGCACAAGAGATAAATCTATGAGAGCTTATTAAAAAACAGTATGCACAAGAGATAAATCTATGAGAGCTTATTAAAAAACAGTATGCACAAGAGATAAATCTATGAGAGCTTATTAAAAAACAGTATGCACAAGAGATAAATCTATGAGAGCTTATTAAAAAACAGTATGCACAAGAGATAAATCTATGAGAGCTTATTAAAAAACAGTATGCACAAGAGATAAATCTATGAGAGCTTATTAAAAAACAGTATGCACAAGAGATAAATCTATGAGAGCTTATTAAAAAACAGTATGCACAAGAGATAAATCTATGAGAGCTTATAAAAAAAAAACAGTATGCACAAGAGATAAATCTATGAGAGCTCGAAATTTCATTTCATAAAAGATTGATACAAACAAGTTAGTTTTTAGGGTAGTTAAATTAATGACTAGTACCTGCATTGATTTTTCTGTAAGATGGAATCTACCTTCAGTTACATTTAGACCGATGGTGGGAAAACTTTCGTTATGGACTGAGCTCATGAACAAGACGACATTGCATCTCTTTGCCCATGTGTTCTTTACGTGAATTGCTTTTCTATACGTGAGATAGGAACACACTTTATTTGTAATTATAATTTGTTCAATTTAAAAAATCAACAACATATTTTTCATTTTCAAAGGAAGCAATTAAAAACCAAAATAAACATTTTGTTTATAAAAATTCCCTCTTTTTATTTTAATTTTTTTTTTGTGGTGGGGGGGGGGGGGGTGATGTTGTTGTTTTGTTGTTTTGTTGTTGTTTTCATTCTGAATTTTTATGAAATACTTTGTTTTAAAAAATTCTAAATTTAAAAAATTAAAAAAATATTTTTTATTTTTAAAGGAAACAATTAAAAACCAAAATAAACATTTTGTTTATAAAAATTCCCTTTTTTTATTTTAATTTTTTTTTTGTGGTGGGGGGGGGGGGAGTGATGTTGTTGTTTTGTTGTTATGTTGTTGTTTTCATTCTGAATTTTTATGAAATACTTTGTTTTAAAAAATTCTGCAGCGTCACTTTATAGAAATAATTACTTTATAATTAAACTTGATGGCTTAGTATTTATTGCTAATTTGTTTTTACGCTAATGCAAAATTAGTGTATCCCCAACAGAGTCATAAACATCTGACTAAAATGGTATTCATGAATGGGAGAGCGTAACGTCCACTCTTAAAGGAATAGCAATAAGGCAAGGTAATTTTTTTTTTATAAAACTTTTGTTATCTATCGTTTTAAAAAATATAACAGGTTCTATTTTTCACATTGTTTAAGGTTCTCGGAGCTGGTTTCTGTTTAGTTCATCTCCATCGTTTCTGTGGATCGATTATAAATGCGATAGAAATTTTTTTTATATATTTAAATAGGTGCTATGTGTTTTTAATCTTTTTGTACATAAGACTACAGCTAATTAATTTGATACACTTGTTGGAAATTAATTCTGAAAACGATGTAAATTGATATTGTAACTACAGGAACAATCAATCCATAGACTTTGGGGCTAAATCTCGTTTTTTTGGGGCTAAGTATCGTTTTTGGGGCTAAATCTCGTATGCTAGTAGGAACTTCAACATCCTTCCCCCGCCCCCTCACCCCCCACCCCACTTTCAATAAAGATTTGAACTGAACAAAAAATTGATTTATTTAAAATGACCAACGTGTCCAAGTTCATCGGTGACGTCAGTATCCAACAGGCCACCCGGACATTTTCATACAACTTCTTGGCAACACTGTCATCGTCTGCAATGAATATTGTGTACACAATGAGTTACTGGGAATGTAGGATGTGTTGTTGGTGTAAACATTAAATCAAATGTACTTTAAAAATTATATAGGTGACATTGATTGTATGATTGATTTCGTCTCTAAACTCTTTAAAAAACAAATACATTGTGCACATAATTCAGAATGATTTTTTTCTTCAAATCCTTTTTAAATTGTTGGTCAATAAACATGTTGCATAGTGCAGGTATAGGTTTTAGAACTCGCATAATTAAAATACAAAAACTTAAGGACAAAATATAAAATATGTTTTATTTTAATCAACACAGAGACGGCAGCTTTGACAAAAACATAAGAGATAAAAGCTTTGACAAAAAAAAAAACAGAGGCGGCAGCTTTGACAAAAACACCAGAGAAGACATCTTTGACAAAAAACACCAGAAACGGCAGCTTTGACAAGAACACCAGAGACGACAGCTGTGACAAGAACACCAATGTCTCTCACTTGAAATTTTCATGTTTTTAAAGATCATCAAGTTATCCTAACCTTTATGATACTTAGTGTCTCCGAACTGGTCCTGTTGAAAAAGATTTTAATTCAATCAACGAATGCCTTTTAAAATGAGTCAACTGAAAGGAAATGTGTATCTATTTTTTTTTAAACATTATTATTAAACCATGCCATTTTTGTAATCAGATATCATAGAGTGCATGGTTATACTTCGTTTTAAGAAAAAATGTCTTTAGAACCATATCTTACCCCTTTCTAGCCACTAACACTTTCTGGTCACTACCACTTTCTGGTCACTACCACTTTCTGGTCACTACCACTTTCTGGTCACTACCATTTTCTGGTCACTACCACTTTCTGGTCACTACCCCTTTCTGGTCACTACCACTTTCTGGTCACTATCACTTTCTGGTCACTACCACTTTCTGGTCACTACCACTTTCTGGTCACTACCACCTTCTGGTCACTACCACTTTCTGGTCACTACCATTTTCTGGTTACTACCACTTTCTGGTCACTACCTCTTTCTGGTCACTACCCCTTTCTGGTCACTACCACTTTCTGATCACTACCCCTTTCTGGTCACTACCACTTTCTGGTCACTACCACTTTCTGGTCACTACCACTGTCTGGTCACTACCACTTTCTGATCACTACCACTTTCTGGTCACTACCACTTTCTGGTCACTACCACTTTCTGGTCACTACCACTTTCTGGTCACTACCACTTTCTGGTCACTACCACTTTCTGGTCACTACCACTTTCTGGTCACTACCGATTTCTGGTCACTACCACTTTCTGGTCACTACCACTTTCTGGTCACTACCACTTTCTTGTCACTACCATTTCGAACATAAAGGAAGTTAGTTTTAAAAAAAAATATTTTCTATTAAAGTCATTCATTTATACTATAATATTAAACTCAATATATAGCATGAAACAGCAACCTTCTCCCCGCCTTTACCCCCCCCCCACCACACACACACACACAGTGGCGTAGCGAGGGTGTTTGGCGCCCGGGGACAAGATTCGCGCCCGGGGACAATATCCATTTTTAGCGCCCCTTTTTCTTTTTTTTCAACTCTCAAACCCATTATTTTCATCAATAAAATAATATCAAAGCACATTTTGGCACCCTTAACTAGCTGGCGCCCGGGGACATCTGTCCCCACCTGCCCCCACCACGCTACGCCTCTGCACACACACACACACACACATAACACCAGGATCTTTGCCAGATTTCCCTGGCACACCACAATTAAAACATGAAATTAAAATATAACCTGGTTTATTGTTTACACATTTTAAATGTGTTTTCCCCTTTATAGGCGTGCAATCAACAGGAGCCAGTTGATTTCTTTTCAAAAAGTGATGTAACAACGAGTTTTCCCTTTTTACGCGGAATCTATCAGTATGAAAGCAATATAATCACAACTTCTTGTTTGGCCTTGTCTAGTGGTAATTCTATAATTCATTCAAATTAATGATTTATAACAAAAGAAACTTCCTATTCCAAAACAAATTGAAATTCTCTTTTGATACAAAAAAATAATTTGCACGCTTGCTAGTTTGTGTTGGAGAGGGAGAGGGGCTAGTTTGTGTTGGACAAGGTGGGGCTAGTTTGTGTTGGACGAGGTGGGGCAAGTTTGTGTTGGACAAGGTGAGGGCTAGTTTATGTTGGATGAGGTGTGGCTAGTTTGTGTTGGACAGAGTTGGGCTAGTTTGTGCTGGACAGAGCGGGGCTCGTTTGTGTTGGACAGAGTGGGGCTCGTTTGTGTTGGACAATATGGGGGCTAGTTTATGTTGGATGAGGTGTGGCTAGTTTGTGTTGGACAGAGTGGGGCTAGTTTGTGCTGGACAGAGTGGGGCTCATTTGTGTTGGACAGAGTGGGGCTCGTTTGTGTTGGACAGACGGGGGCTAGTTTGTGTTGGATGAGGTGTGGCTAGTTTGTGTTGGACAGAGTGGGCCTAGTTTGTTTTGGACAGAGTGGGGCTCGTTTGTGTTGGACAGAGTGGGGCTCGTTTGTGTTGTACAGACGGGGGCTAGTTTGTGTTGGACATGATAAGCCAAGTTTGTGTTGGACAAGGTGGGGCAAGTTTGTGTTGGATAGGATGGGGCTAATTTATGTTGGATGGGGTGGGGCTAGTTTGTGCTGGAAAGGGTGGGGCTAGTTTGTGTTGGACAGGGTGGGGCTAGTTTGTGTTGGACAGGGTGGGGCTAGTTTATGTTGGACGGGGTGGGGCTAGTTTATGCTGTAAAGGGTGGGGCTAGTTTGTGTTGGACAGGGTGGGTCTAGATTGTGTTTTACAGAGTGGGGCTCGTTTGTGTTGGACAGGGTGTGGCTAGTTTGTGTTGGACGAGGTGAGGCTAGTTTGTGTTGGACAGAGTGGGGCTAGTTTGTGTTGGATAGGGTGGGGCTAATTTATGTTGGACGGGGTGTGGCTAGATTGTGTTGAACAGGGTGGGGCTAGTTTATAATGGACAGGGAGGGGCTAGTTTGAGTACGACAGGGTGGAGCTAATTTGTGTTGGACAGGGTGGGGCTAGTTTGTTTTGGACGGTGTGGGACTAGCTTGTGTTGGACAGGGTGCGGCTAGTTTTTGTTGGACAGAGTGGGGCTAGGTTGTGTTGGACAGGGTGGGGCAAGTTTATGTTGGACAGGGTGGGCTAGTTTATGTTGGACAGTGTGGGGCCAGTTTGTTTTGGACAGGGTAGGGCTAGGTTGTGTTGGAGTCAGTGGGTCTAGTTTGTGTTTGACAGTGTGGGGCAAATTTATGTTGAACATTTTGGGGCTAGTTTGTTTTGGACAGGGTGGGGCAAGTTTATTTTGGACAGAGTGGGGCTCGTTTGTGTTGGACGGGGTTTGGGCCAGTTTGTAGTAGACGGGGTGGGGGTAGTTTGTGTTGGATGGGGTGGGGCTTGTTTGTGTTGGACAAGCCCCATGTGTAACTTTGGGAGACCATAGTCATCTCCCAAGGTCATTGTGTGTTATCCATCCCATTAAAAAATTATCCCCGCGCTCCCCAGCTCCCCGGATGCCGTCTATGGTCGCAGACCTAAATACATCCACAAGGCGTTAGTGTGTTTACCTTCGGTGGATTACCGGAAGTGTGGTGACTACTCGCCGTATCTGTGTAGCTTTTTGAACCTCGCAATCTTTCTACAGATTATCAAGAAAATCTCAATACAAACATAATGAATAGATCTGCCTTAAAAAAATGTAGGTAGATTTCTTTTTCTTGTCGATTTTTAGAAAAATACTCGAAATTAGTTATGACCAATTATTATTCCATGCTTGATTTCATTCAAATGGACGTCGACATTATTATATGAAAACTAAAGACATTTTTTTTTGTTAAAAAAGTTAAAATTTTAAAATTTAAAAAAAAAACTACTACCCTACACATTATGTTTCAATTTACGCGTAATTCGAGATTATTCCATGTTTCAATAATCTTAACCGATGTCAGTTTTGAAAGGCTTTAGATAAATTACATCAAATCTGCTGAGTTAGAACTTTGAAATCCAAATAGTTTTGCTGGGGATTCAAAGATAAACCATATCTAAACTAAAAAATCAAAGATCTCCACTTACTTTTCATTTATTTATTGTTTTGTAACTGAGGAGATCGACCAACGCATGCCATTGATCCCCGCTTGAACGCTATCAGCAAACGGGAACCAAGAGGGTTGGTGTTGAATAGAAATTCATGGTTTTATTCAACTATGGTTTGATGGTGTTGTTGTTTTTTTTTTTAAGTACCCGGATAATGCATCAAACTTTTTCAGGGATAACTCGATCCGAAATCAGAGACCCTGAGACGTTAACGATTGTCCAAGTTGATTGCACGCAGTATTTGATAATAATATGTCGGTCGTATGTATCGTTATATCGTACGTCTCTTTATGGCAAAGTTTGGATCACAAATAACTCACCGAGTTACTGTAATACATCCGATCTGTGCTGGAATATTGCAGGTTTCCATGTGAAAATGTTGTTGTCCATCCTTGTAGGGTGACCAGCAGAGCCGTGCTGAGGCCTAGACAAATACCCGCCAAAAAACTCTGCCACGTCTTGTATCTGACACCGCTCATTGTAAATATTTTACAGTTTCACTCTTCAACATATAAACCAACAGTAACTGCCCCCCAAAAAACTAGTTTCCGAATGCTAAACTTTGAATATACACAAATAGTTTGATTCTATTTCATTTAGTGTTCCATAGCTTCGATACTAACGTAATTTATAACAGAGATATAAATATTTTTTTCAATTTAAATATCCTGAAGTTAAAAGAAATAAGTTCAATAGAACAACAGCTTGACATTGATATATCTGGTACTTGTACGTTCCTAAGGAAATATAGCGCTACATTCAATCAGTGCTTTATTTGCTATGATTGTAACACACTGGTACTTCCAATGTTATTTCTCGCGGTCATACCAATCTGTGTAATAGTTTAAATAGCACTTAATTTCAGAATAAACTAAACCAATGTCAAACCTATATTTTTTAGCTTCACTTTCAATTCACACTCAGTGACAAAATAAATCCCGTTGTCACCATGTGGCATATGCTCCTCTGTGTGTCAATCAATAACGTAAGTCTTGTGTAGCAAAGAATTAACTTTAAACTCACCTCAAACTCCATCTTTAATCTCTACGCCCCCCCCCCCAAACCTTCCATGATATATGTTATAGATTAAGCCCTTTCAAATGAATTACCCTGTAAGCGTGTGGCCCATGGCTGACTTACGGTATAGACTAGTCAATCAGTTGTTAACCGTTTACAACAGGGGTCTCAAATTCAAATCGTCCAAAGAAATAACTTTAAACTCACCTCAAACTCCATCTTTAATCTCCACGCCCCCCCCCCCCAAACCTTCCATGATATATGTTATAGATTAAGCCCTTTCAAATGAATTACCCTGTAAGCGTGTGGCCCATGGCTGACTTACGGTATAGACTAGTCAATCAGTTGTTAATCGTTTACAACAGGGGTCTCAAATTCAAATCGTCCGGGAGGCCGCAGGAGGTAGAGTGAACTGGGCCGCATCAAGTATCCCCCCCCCCCCCCAAGCGATTACAAATTCAATAAATTACATCTGTTACAATCTGCTCAACCTTTATTAATCAAAAATATAAAAAAATTAAGGGTTCTCAAGAACTAGGCCTCACTTTCTTCCTCCTACTCATTGTTGCTAGAGAAACTGGCAGCGCTTCTTCTTACAAAGCTGAGCAACATTTGGCTTAAGTGAGGAAACAACTGAGACCCTCAGTATAGCTTAAAGATGCTCATCAGTAAGTTTGGCCCCTGAACTTTGACTTGTTAAAGTTCAAAGTGGAAAAGAGCTTTTCATACAGTTAGGTACTCCAAAAAAGTCATATGGTCCGCTGGAACAACCTGGAAATCTCAGTGAAGGTGGAGGGCAATGTTCTTATAAAGTGTCCTTGTTTGTCTGTTTTTCTATTCACTTCCCTGAACTTACTATTGCACTGATGAAGATAAATCAGCTCCATTTGATGCGCAAAAGAAAAGGGGTTGGGGGGGGGGGTATATTCCACATTAAAGGAGAAAGGGTCAGCAAAAAGCTGAAAAGTGGCTGTGTGTTTTGAAGTCTAAAAAATGAGGTCAAAATCTTCCTGTAGCTTTGCAATGGCATCAGTATACTACCAAGTTACTACTGAATGGTGTGCCCGAGTCCATGAGTACTTTGCATGGTGGGAAATGGCAGAGGTTTCTTTAAGAACCATAACACAAGTTTTGTGCAGAATGCCCTGACATTGTCATAGGTGACACTGACAAGCTACCCCTGGTCTTGTAACTTCTTGTTGAGTACAGTCAGTTTCTGTGTAATGCCAACAAGAAAAGCCAAGTCTATGAACCATTTAGGATCACTTAGTACAGGAACAACCACCCCATCCTTCTCAATGAAGGCTTTAAAGGCTAAAACGTGTTCAAACAGTATTATGAATTATTGATGGGAATTAAAATTCTATGGTAGGGAGAATGAATTTTGATTTTTTTATCGTAGAAAAGGGCATTTTAAACTAACCCTTTTTTTTAAGTGACCAAGCTGACAGGCTCGGAATTTCCCTCACTCGTAAACACTAGTGGCAATTTTAATAGGGGTTCTTTGTTACTATATCAGATTGCTACGATTTACACAATTATGGTTGTGCATTACCCACTAACTGACTTTTTAAAACTTTTCTCAAAACCGAACTTTGGCCATGTTTGTCTCATTAAATGCTATAAAATATAAACTTTAAATTCAATTTTAAAACGATTCCTACCATTACAATCAACATACAAATTTATACAAACATAGTAAAAATCAGAATTAGACTAGTCGGTGAGATTCGACTGAAATCGCCGTGGGGGGGTCACATTATAGATATGAGAATGGGGAAAACGCGCGGGCCGCATTAACATTAAACTTTGATGGTTTGTAGCGGGCCGCAAAATATCGTCTTAGGTGTCACAAATGGCCCGAGGGTCGCGAATTTGAGACCCCTGGTTTAGAAATTTAACTACTAGAATTTTTTACTGAATCACTGTACCTGTGATTGTTTACAGAAAACAATAACCTAAAAATATACAATTTATTTTTAGGTTTAATTAGTTTTTTTTTTTTTTAAATGTAATATTCATTTAATTGCAACGTTCTTTTAAATAAATGTATTTTAACTTTTATGTGAACTTGGGCGATAACTGTGTCTCCATCTCGAATTCCCTTTCAAACAGAGGTCCTTTACCTCGGAGATGGAGTCACTAAACTACAGCTCGCGCTGGTCATTTTGTCTGTTAACCGGCCCGTGGTGAATAGTTTGGTGACCCCTGCTCTAACGCAAGGTGTTCTCAACTATTTGACCGCAATGTCCTCGGCTAGACAAGGGAGACGTAAAGTTTAGATTATAAAATAGTTTGGTGACCCCTGCTCTAACGCAAGGTGTTCTCAACTATTTGACCGCAATGTCCTCGGCTAGACAAGGGAGACGTAAAGTTTAGATTATAAAATAGTTTGGTGACCCCTGCTCTAACGCAAGGTGTTCTCAACTATTTGACCGCAATGTCCTCGGCTAGACAAGGGAGACGTAAAGTTTAGATTATAAAATAGTTTTCAAGTGCAATTTATCGGGCGCTGTTAATATATATTTAGATGTCAAATATATATTTTTTTTTTAAAGCACACTGATTTGTTCACATTGCTTTTATAAATCTATCATCAAACTTAAACCTGGTTTCGTAAACCTGTGTACTTTAAGGCCAAGTGCGGCCTTCTAGATCTTCAAGTGCGCCCTTCTAGATCTTCAAGTGCGGCCTTCTAGATCTTCAAGTGCGGCCTTCTAGATCTTCAAGTGCGGCCTTCTAGATCTTCAAGTGAGGCCTTCAAGTACTGCATCGAGATTTTACAGAACCATCCTATTTCTTAAGTCTTTCAAACAGAAATCACCCTCATCCCAGACATTTAATAGTTGGTTAACATTAAAATTAGCAAATAGCTCTATTTTATTTCATCATTTTCAATACCCTACGAAATAATATAAGCCTACAAACTTTTTATTTTTATGTAATTGTTTCAAGTTTCTCAAATGCCGCCTTTATTCAGCCTTCCACCATGAAATGATTCTTCACGCCAACACGTCTTCACCTTTCTGTAAAAAAATTAATTTTTATATGTGGGCTATTTAAATAACTGAGTAAATCAATTTAAATACCTTGGAAATTTATTAATTGAAAGAAACTAATTACTAACAGAATTAAAAGAAAGAGTGTCTGCTGGAATCAGTGCATACTTCAGTAGTTTGAAAATATGATAATGATTGAATACTTTGTAGCGCTTGTGTGCGCTCTGATGTCCTAAAATCTATTTAAAGAAAATAATTCTTTGAATGTTTCTAAGAAGACTTTTTATCATTTTGAATTTCTTTCAAGATTGCGGTAAACTGTAATATTTTAGGCGCAATAGCTTCATAAGAGTGCACTCCGTATGACTTTATGTGTCCATCCACACTGGGAACTCTCAGTAAGGACTGTGTTGAAGAGCGCAGGTTCTGTAAGGATACATGTTTATAAATCAGTTTTTAAAGATTGCAGGTGCAGAGTCATCTTTACAGCCGTATACCTGAGGCAGATGTGTGTGGTCCATTGCGCTCACTCACAGGAAGCCAGTGGAGATCTTTCATGCGTGCTGCAGTATTTTGTACCTTTTGAATTTGCTGAATTTAGTTTTGTGGTAAACCTCACAAACAACAGTTACAGTAATCTAACCTTGTAATACTTAAATGTAAAAGCATTACAAGAAAATCAAAGAAAATATTTATAAAACTTTAATAGTTGTAACATAAGCAAGTGAAACGTGGGTCTTAACAAAAATGATAGAAAACACATGAGAAAGAAAGGTGTTTTTGAAAATTTAAGACCAACGAAGGGTAAATATGGAAGGAGAATAAGAACCAACCAGGAATTGTATAGTCTCTAGCAATGTTCCCTCTCTAAGGTTTGCTGGTTCGTGTGCAAAATCATGCAGTTGTGTGCAAAGTTTTAAAACATCAAATTTTTTGTGTGCAAAAGTTTACAGCCCACAAACACAAACACACATTTACATGGAAATTTGCTGCGCGGATGCTCAAAACTGCTGCGCAGCGTCTGTGAGTTATCTGCGAGGCCGCGCAGCCGCGTAGCTTAAAAGGAACATGGTCTATAGTCTATATCATGAGCCCACGCTAGTAGCAGGAAAAAACGGGTAGGCTACGCTGGACAGGACACTTAAAAAGAATGCCAAATGACAGACGAGTGAAGAGGGTACATCACCAAATCCCCAGAGGAAAACGGCTCAAAGGCAGACCAAGGCTTAGATGGATGGATGATGTGGAAAAAGATCTACAAAAGCTGGGAATCCAAGCATGGGAAAGAAAATCACTAATCAGGTCTAAGTGGAAGGAAGTGGTGAGGCAGGCTAAAGCCCTACATGTGCTGTAGCGCCACAGGGATGGATTAACTGACATAGACGCTTCACACCTGAACTATGGATGATTCATTTTAATCGATGAATAGAAAGTTAAATTAAAAAATACATTTCTTTTCACCCCCCTGCGCAAGGTGACGTTGCGATGTTAATATTCATGGACACTTCCAAAACAAATTGATTATAATAACATAAATGTTGATTTTTTTGTTTCACCCTCGTGTTTACACTTATTGTATAGTTTCATCGACCAAAGTCTTCTCACCGATAGAGTGTAACCAGAACTAATACAGTAAATATTGACCTCTTTTAACAAAGGTGGCCACCATTTACAACGCTAGCTTCTGTGTATCCCACTCATGCTCACACGCCATTGGGAGCTGCCGTGTTCTTCTCTTATTCGGCTAGATATTGTCTTTATACAGAATTCCTGATACGCGGAAATTACTTGAATGGCTCGAGAGACATAATTTGTTTTATGTCGTCACATGTCGCAGGCGTGAGTTTTGTTTAGAATTCTTGGTAAGTATGACTGCAGCGTTCTCACAGTCACGAAGCAAGTCAACTTTGGTTGAGATATCTCTCCTAGGATAAACGGTTAGTTCTTTACCTTGAA